TCCTGTGTAGTGTAAGGTCCTGGATTCTCTTTTTTTCTCTCTTCTCTCTCTTGCTGTTCTCCTCTTGGTCTTTCTCTCTTCTCTATCTATCTATCTGTCTATCTATTTTTCTCTCTCTATCTATCTATCTCTGTCTATTTTTTTTTCTCTCTCTATCTATCTATCTCTGTCTATATATCTCTCTTTCTCTCTCTCTCTCTTTCTTCATTTATATACCATTCAGTCACCCAATCTATCCATCAGACTATCAGTCTTCATCGTCCTTCTTCTTCTCTCTTTCTTCTCCTTCTTCTTCTTCATCTTCTTTCTTCTTCTTCTTCTTCTTCTTCTTCTCTTCTTCGTTGGATTTATCTTACTTCCTCGTCAGCTTCTTCCTGTCATATTTTACTTTTTTGTTCCATCTAGTTCTCCTTTCAGTCTTTCTCTTTCTCTTCTTCTTTGTTCTTTTGCTTCCTCTTCCTTCCTCCTCTTTCTCTTTCTCTTCCTCCTCTTTCCCTTTTTCTTTCTCTTCCTCATCGTCTTCTGTTCTCTTTTCTATCTTCCTGCTTCCTCTTATTTTTTCTTTCTCTTGCTCTCCCTCCTCTTCCTCTCTTTTTCTTTTTTTTCTCTCTTTTTCCTCTTATTTCTCTTATTTTTTTCCCCTCTCACTCTCTCTCCTCTTCTCTTTTCTTTTTCTTCTTTCCCTCTTCTTTCTATTTCTCCTCTTCCTTTTCCTCATCGATTTCTCTGCCTATTCCCACGTTTATTCTCGGTCTTCGGGTCTTTTTTCTGAAGGTCTTTCGGGTCTTAAGTCCTTTGGAATGAGGTCCGGTCTTAATTTATATTATTTATATTTTTTATTTATTATTTATATTGTTATTTATTATTATTATATTATATATAATATCTTTTTTTTTTTTTGGGGGGGGGGGGTACGATTATTGTGAATATTGTGAATCCGATGATTTCTATGAATATTATTGTTGTTTTTTTGTGATTAATGATGATATTGTTGTTAATTCCGTCTCTTTTGTTAGTGTTGTTGTTGTTATTGTTTTTATTGTTGTCTTTGTCACCGCCGCCATCTTTATTATCGCTATTTTGTTTTTATCTTTGTTTTTTGTTTTTTCAATCCATTGTCATCACCATCATCATTAACATCATCACCATCATCACCACTGTAATCATCACCATCTATCTAATTGCATAATCATAACTGCTTCCTTTTTCATAAGTTCTAATTGTATAATGTTCTTTTTTTTTCTTTTTTTATCTCTTTCTTTCTTGTCTCTAGATCCGTGTCTCGCTTCCAACACGTAAGATTCTCTTTATATTCCGAAGTTTTAGCTCTTTTTGTTATCTATTAATCCGTCTCACTTTTCATTCTTTATCAGCAATTAATCTTCCCTTCTTCTTAATTCCTGTTGAGTCATCTACTAAAGTTGTCTACATCAATTAAATTCAGGGGAGATAGATAGATAAAATAAAAGATAGATAAAAATAGACAAAAGATAGATAAGGGGGGGGCATTCAGATTTCTACACACAATTACACAAAAAAATAGATAAATAAAAATAAATAAATGTATAAAATGAAAAATAAATAAATTGAAAGATAACCAATCACACATTACAAAAAATAGATAAATAAATAGATAAATAAATGTATAAAATGAAAAATAAATAAATTGAAAGATATCAATAAAAAATAGATAAATAAATAGATAAATAGATAAAATGAAAAATAAATAAATTAAAAGATAATCAAAAAATAGATAAATAAATAGATAAATAGATAAGATGGAAAATAGATAAATAAAAAGATAATCACCTTGTATTATTCATACTGTATTTGTCTTTGTTATGTTACTTTATGGTCAGTTCTTTGCAGTGTGAACATTTCCCCTTATGGTAAAAAAAACTTTTATGTACCTTTCCCCTCACTGTATTTAATTCGGGTTTACTTTACGATCAAACTCCTGTCTGCATTTCCCCTCACTCTGAAATTTCTGTCTATATTTTTTCCCCTCATTTGGTCAATGTTTGCACTATGAACAAGAACTCTGTGTCTC